AAAAAAAAAAAAAAAAAAAGGACAAGTTTTAAGCTTATTTTATAATCTGATTAAGCTTTTGGGTTAAATGTCCCAACATGATTACAGTATAAGTTAACATTTTTAGTTTTCAGTTTTTACTTCTTCCAACTTTTCTTTCAAATGTCAACGAATCTGCATGGGTGTGAAAATTAGTCAAAATATCAAAAGAACGTACATAAAAGAATTTGTTCCATACAACATAGTACAGTATGTTTTCTAAGTTTGACCAAATGCTACTTGTGCCTGAGTTAACTCTAAATTTACTATACCTACCTATAGTTAAAAGAAATAAGCACAAAGGATAAGGAAAAAAAATACTTGGGCCAGGGATTTAGCTCAGTGGTTCCACCACCTGCCTCGAAAGCCCAACATCAGGAGTTCCATCCCAAGTACCGCCCCCCCCAAAAAAAAACTGTAAAATGGTCAGTCTTGTTATTGTGAGAAAGAAAAATTCCATGTATATAGAAATTAAACAGAACTATGATTTAAGAAACAATTTAAATCTCTACATCCAAGGCACAGTTTCAAAGATCACCCTCTTCCCAAGTAACACTAAATTTCCTTCCACACTCTTTTAAATAAAATAAGAGCCAGGCATGGTGATGCACACCTACAAATAATCGCAGCACGCAGGAGACTGAGGCAAGAGGATTGCCACACCAGCCTAAGACACATAGTTCAGGGCTAGTCTAAACTACAAAGAGAAACGGTTTCAAAAACAAACAAACAAAAAAAACCTGCTGAAAGAAAAATTTCATTACATTTTACCATCTTTTTTATTTCAAGGCTTGTTATAGTCACCTAACTCTGGGCCATCAAAAGTTTTATGTATACAATAACAAAACTTTTTTTTTCAACCCTTAGTTATATAAGCTTGTTTAAAAGACACCAAAAATCACACTTTCAGCATCTGGAAACCTAAAATAAAAGGGCTGGTACAGAATTTACTTCTTGGTTTAACCGATTTCAACACACTTAAAAAATTTAAAGAAATTTCACATGGGCTCTTCTGCAACATCTGGCTCTAAGCCAGCTGATTAATCAAAAGAAGAACTTCAGCCAGCAAAACAATTTCTTTGAATTTTGGCAAGAAAATAGCTCTACAATGACTTGAAGGTAAAGAAGAAAAACCATGCCAAGTCTAGTAGAAAGGAAGAAAAGGATTTATACGGGATAAACACTGTAACGATTCCTGGAAAGATCTTATTACTACTGACGCAGAAACGGCCTAATTCCTACCCTACTGCAGCCCCACAGAACTTGCTCTTAACAAGAATCACTGCAGGTGTTTATCTAACATCAACTGCAAAACAGTTCTACTTCTCATGAGTGATTTTTAAGAGGTTTTGAGACAGCACCAACTACGTGCCAAACTCTCAACTGTACCATCTTGAACAAAGAAAAATATGCAAAGCCATTTCCCTTTCTTTATTGAATTCCTGTGAAAGTAGACTAAGCTTTATGCGCAAACATATACACGTATGCATAAACAACAGCGCATCTATTTTAATTACCAACTCTAAACAAATTACATTTTGAAAGCATACAATTTTTTCCATTAATAAAAATAGCCATCACTTGTGTTATGTTTCTAAGGCAAATCGGCAAATCTCCCGGGACCAAGGAATGCTAGGGGACTTGGAAGGGAGGAGGTTGGAAGACTCCAGGGATGGATCTCATCAAGCATAGGGCTTCAAAGACCTGTAAGACCAAACATCTGTATTGGAAACCCTGCTTCACTTTTACTTGAACAAAAATTTAGGTTAACGTCTTACCCTCTCTGCCTCAGTTTTCTCATCTCCAGAAGGGAACAGCAACAGCCTCAGAGCTGCTACGATTAAAGCAACGTCTTAAGTACATAACAAAATGTGACTTGTACAAATTAAGAGTTGAGTGAGTTGTCATTTCCTGTCGTTTCCGAAAAACTACCTTCTCTTTTCTCAAAACTACGAACTTCTAAGACCGAGAAATGCGAACAAAAGACGAAATAAGAAATAATCAAAAGTGAAACTTTACCTTCCCCCTCCGTCTGCGAGAAAAAAAAAATTCAACATAAATAAAGCAAAGTCGACCTACAGCGCGAGCTGCCCGCCCCAGCGCTGGGCGCCGTGGTAAACAAACCCAGCGGCGCCACCCCCCCGGCTCCG